TAAAATATATCTGAAGGAATTTTTATCATCAAGTTTATATGTAGAATACTGATGTTCCATACACTTGGTAGTATTCTTAAATTTTGTCACAGATTCACTGTTCCTTTTTCATAAATGGCAATATAGATATACATACATACATACCAGGGACGTAGGTTACCATTCTTGTCATACTCTTTGTCATTCGAATTCAGTCTGCGTATACGATCTCTATAAGCTGGGGTGATAGTGTTTTTTGTCGGGTCTAGAAGAGATACCACCACGGCATGGTGTAATGCGTTTCTTTCGTCCTATACGAAAATTATTGCCAAACTTTAGGAACTTCTCGCAGGCTTAACTATCGGGCCATTCGAAATCGAAATCATCCATAACATGTTCACACCCTGAGCATGCCTCTACGCATAAAGTACGACAATGGGGAAGCGCCTTCTCCATGATAGTGCACACTGACACATACAAAATGCACAGTAATAACTTCGTAACTGGAATGCAGTTCATTTTCACAAGCGGGAAAAATGATCAATGATCGGTTTCGAGTTCAACATCGTCTTGATTCTGGTGATTTAAATTGTTCGGCATTGTTGTCTCATTATACATTCATTCCAGATATAAGGTACACCTTAGGTTTCAGTGCGATTACATTCTACATGAGCTGGTTTTATCTAATGTCTTGAGTTATTATATAAGTAGGACTTGTTGCCTGATATTTTCATGATGCGGTAAGTGTCTATCAGAGTCGCTTATTTGTGAATATGCTCCGGCATTTGAATTAAGTCCTTGATGATTCGAAATAATGAGAAAGTTCGCAACAAGATGTTGCACAAATATTACACTGTAATTTCGCCATTCCAGGACTCTAATTATCTCCCAATTAACCCGATGTGGTCAATTTTATGGTGTACATGGTCACAATAATCATTTTTCGATCATTATTGAAACAGCACGCAATTTCTTCTCGATTAAAGATCGAACCACGAAAGGCTTAATTGTTTGTATACAGCTATGGTAAAATATGGTTTCTCCCTTTGTTCAATCAGTTCCAAATTAATTTTCTTCTTTGAGATATAATAGGCGTATCAATAATCCATTTGTCAGTATAAACGCTTCAGGAGGCCGGGATCCTTTGGAGCGTCCACCATGTTATATTTAGGTTATGAGATGTTGTTATATAAAATCCAACATAAAATGTTAAATGATGTTCCAATATTTATTAATGTTCAGGATAAATCCTACGCTAGTTGTAAAAGTTACATGTTGATATTATCCTGTTTGTTAGCTCAAAAGCTAACGGTTTTAAGTGTTAATTTAGAATTTCGATAGCAAGTTATGTATTTTTGAAGTTTAAATCTAAATGATGTTTGTGTTGCTTAAACCAAGAATGTCCGAAAAAGTGATTCTGTACTGGAAAGATGCTATCTTAACCAGATTCAAAAGAATGTTAAGACCGCCTCTTTTCCATATAAGGAATGTTAACGAAAGTAACACTCTTAAAATTTGAACCATACAATACTACATTAGCGACATGGCAATTCTTATTCTTCATCTGTTATTGATATCTTTGTTCCATTATAATCATTCTTTTATTGTATTCTTGGTTTAACGGTTATTTAGTCCTTGTAGTTTTGTTTATATTTACATTATTTTATTTTACTTCCCAATGTTTTCTAATTTTCATTTTTTTTTAAAATTTTTTGGAAATCTACTTTTTTGTTATTGCTTTCTCCATGTTAGCATCCAGCGTGTGTTTTTTTAAATTCCTTGTCTTTCTAGTTTTTATATAGATCGACAATTCTTTGTGCAGCGGCATCTTCTATTAGCTGCATACTTTTGATACCCTTATGATTGTGAAATGTATAATCCATGTGACGGACGGAAGGACCGACCGACTGACCAATCAAAAAATAAATATAAACAAGGTTGATTTTGTCCACATGTGAGTTTTGGACGATATGACCTGTCTGAAAGTCTGGGTTATTCAATTCAGCTGAGTACGTTAGAATTTACTCATTACATATAATTACATATAATATTGTTAAAAAGTGTAATCCTTCACAAATATCAAACCACCAAACTCCTGGTCAAATGTCATACGAGTTATCTCACTTGCCAAGACAAAAATTTAATTCCTATTGCACATTTGTAGACTACCCTTCAATATTTTTACGTCATCATTTTACCAAGAACCTGTAAGAGACTGAATTTCGGAAGTCCTGGGTAGTTTTTTACACAGTTTGCACGTACGATGACGTTAGTTGCTTGATTTATTGTCTGAGTGATTGACAGGATATCGATGATTGTTTTTTTATGATGGCGATTTCTACTAGATTATTTATTTATTTATTCATTTATTTAAGTGTCACCTATCTAAGATAGCCAGCCCTACCTGGGCTTATGAGACACATTTTACATAAGTTACATAATAATAATACATAATAACTTTAACAATACAAATATAAAATTAGTGCAGTGCAGATATTAAACAAATCTGGAAGACTTACGTACGCGTAAATTGAAACGTTATTTGCCGTTTTTATCTGTTAATTAGTGTACGGTGTACAATACAACGTTAGTTGCTTGATTTATTGCCTCACTGATTGACATTATATTAATTTTGATTGTCGTTTTGCCGGTTGATTTATTGGTAAATAAATTTTGTTGCTTGTTTGGTTGTTTGCTTGATTGGTTGTGTCACTGACTGATACGTTGATTGGGATGCCAGTTGGGCGTTTTGAGGCATAAAATGAAAAAATCAAATTCCTAACCCTGGTAGGAAGGTTGGGTACCCGGCTACCCGGTTACCCGGTCTGCGGTTTTTTACACAAACCCTGTGCTAGCATGAATTGTGCACTCATTTTTCAATTTGTGCTGATTTAGCATGAAAAAGATAAGCACTAATTATACATAGTTATTTTGGCAATGTATACTCAAGGTTATGGGCCTATAAAAAAGAGTCTGTCATTTCAATGATAAAACCAGCATCACAAACTTACCAAATGAATTAATATATTGTTAATTGGCCTGTATATTCTGCAGTTAAAATATTGAACCAACCAAGAATTGTGTTAAGTTTATCTGCAAACATGAAAAAGTGTGTTTAGCAGCATATAAATGTTTATTAATTTATGTACTATGTATAGGTACAGTGGATAGTAATACATAATAAAACATTAACAAAACGTGCATTGTCATGTTTTATATTATAAGCATATTCATCAAAATATTTCCAAACATTCTAAACTTGTATCTAAACTTAAACCCATCTGAATCGTGAAATAACTTTTAAAAAGTCACAAAGTCACATTTTTATAAAGTCACTTGTATAGGAATCTAAATCTGAGGTAGTGGCTGAGTTACAATGAGCGCATGTGTGACTTTTTATGTTGAATATGGTCTCAAGAAAACATGACGTTTAATGGTTTCGATTATTTACGCAACAATACAGCCATCGATGATTATATTTAATTCAGAGAAACAAATACAGGACAACTAAAAGAATACCAGCGATATTTTTCGAATTTTTTGTATGTGCGCTTATTGGAATCTTTAACTATTTCCAGAATTTCAATTGGAAATCGCACTGTGTGCTAGTTGGAATGTAAAAAATATTGGAAAAATATAAAAGGGTCGTTCAACAGAAATCTCTGCCGTTTGAATGCAGCTCAGTAAAAAGTAAAATTCGGTCAATCGGAGCATTTTTAGAGAGAATGGTCGATTAACTTTTGACATCTTGAAACTATCATCTTTTAAGAATTTATCACGCTGAGTACTCATGCATGGAATGTTTTTATTGTAGTTTCTTTATTAAACAAAACAAATTCATGTTCATAAATGAACTTAAACTTATTACAAATTCATGTTGCTTCAAAAAGCAAAAGCCTTTTCTGGGTCACCGCGAATGGCATGATTTCCTCGAGTCTCTTCAGTTGCATGGCAACCATACTAGGACCGATTCGCGTCGTTCCACTACTGCCCTTGGTGGGGGCCCGCTACCATACTATATGACTCCCGGAGTTTACTAAAGCACGTTAGTGGAGGAACCAACCACAGTCTCACAATCTGTCTCCGGCACGAGCGGCCAGAGAACCAACCCATGCCAAGGGCCGGTAAACGGTTGGACCTTCGGACCGGATGTCCGTAGTGACAATGATCAACAACTCCGCACCTGGGGCTCGAACGCGGGACCTCCGTATCCCACGACGTTCAACCGCAAAGTAGCCTCAGTCTACGCCACTAGGCTACCCTGCTTAGGTGTCAGAACTGCTAAAAAATATTGTAGTTGTTATAATTATTTTGCTTGACTGAACATGGAACTAATACCCATGCTTAATTAGTCCAATATCTAAATCGTTTAATCGGGATAGAAGTTTGAAGGCAGTTCCAAACGATCTCCAATTCAAGATTCACCATCAACTCTTGCAAATGTGTACGGGCTGTAACATGATCATGTAAATAGATGGTAAAAGAAATCGAGATCCAACTATGAATTTTAGGAAGGGGAAAATATTCCAATTATAAGACTTATTTCGTGTATTTGGAACGGTGTTGCATTTGTGCTCAAATATTAATTACGTCTCAAAGAAAATGAAAGGGTACCACCAGCTGACGAGTGAAAACAACGTTCCGTATAAAGATATGCCAAGATTGGTCAATACCACGATATGTGAATAGATTTGGGTGAATTGTGTCAAGGAAAAATTAGCTATTATGGCAAATTACTTCAAAAACAATCCGATTGCGTTAATCACGAACCCAGATTACGACATGTAGAACGAATCGTATTCATATATTTCAGATTCACTCCATTTCTCAGTGATCTAAAATCGGTCCAAATGAGTCGAAAACAAAATCATAGTTTTTTGAAATTACTTGAATTAGTTCATTTCCGCAGAGATGTCTCTGATTTCCGAGAGAAAACATTTGGCCTTGGATAAAACTGTCTCTCTCGTCGTTGTCGTCGTCGTTGTCGTCGTTGTCGTCGGCTACGTCTGTCGTCACCTTGTTTTAGATCCATGTATCATTTTGTTGGTTATAATACCTATCTAATAGTTCTTCAACTGAGTCCAGAGCTCCCTCCATCCATTGTGAATTACTATAGCAACTCCCAACAATGTGCACGTTTGCATCTTCAAAAGGTTTGATCATTTGTTTGGAAATGATTTCCAAGTTAGCACCGGCCTTCCAGGAATAGATAGATGCCCCTTTCCAATAATGCATTACGCCTGTGTACGGACGTGCTAGTTCTTCAGGACGTAGCTGATGTACCTCTGCAATCTGGTTATGGGCCTCAACTAAAATTGCCTCTGATATGTTGTATTCACTTACAAGCATGTCGGTAGCTTGAGGCGTGGCTAGGTGTGGTTGACTATTTAAAAATGAGTCATCCCAGAATGAAGCACGTGGGTAACCTGAGTTAACCAACAACATTGATTTCCTGTTACCGTCTTGCAATACTATATCAGAGGAGGGTTTACCTTGGCCCATGTATAGTATCTGACCAACAGGAAGGGTGGAGACAGCTCTCCCTGTTGTGAATCCTAGTCCCTCCCACCATGGCTCTTCGTAGCCAAGGTACATTTCAAAAAACTCTTGTCCAAAGACAGCATTTAGCCGGTAGTCGATGAAATCCTGATTTTTAAAAGGTTGCCAGTCGATTTCCATGAGAGCATCTTTATGTAGTGCTAAGATGACACGTTTAGCACACACGGTCGTCTGGTTCTGAAAAATACAGTCGGTTTGGATACAGGGAATATCCCTTGGGATATACAATATATCTTCCCTCGGTCCCCTCGCCCCCTTAAGAAGACATATTGTTTATCCTTCAGGACCTCCCAGTGCATCACTAAAAGAAAATATTTTCAGTGAACCTTTTTCCAAGGGTCAAGTTGGTAAAGCATCAATTTCAATCTGCAAAGTCAAGTTATCACCTTAACAACCATACAGTGAATGCGTTATTGGTTATATATAATGTAGTGCAGTGATATGAAATACTATACTGTGTTCGGATTGGCTGGAATCGGACTCCTTGCCTAGATATGTGTGAAAACATAATCAACTCACCTCAGTATCTGATGTGATATAGTTGTTGGTTGTTGTTTTTTGAAATGTTAACAGTTCATTCTGCCCTTGCCTTTCGATGCGTATCAACTTATGGTTCATGTGCACTTTATGTCTGGAAAGTACATGAAAGTATGATGCTTCAATGCTTTTCAATGCTGCTCGGTGGCACCAGTAGAACATATATGGCTATAGTTCAACAAGTTAAACCCAATACCACGACTTTAATTTATTAATCTGAGTGTTCTTGTTGCCGTGGTTGGGTTAAACTTCCGTTCTATGCTTTCATTGGTTGCAAATTCTCATTATCTGTTATTTATAAAACGCGCATGAATTCCATGCGCTGCCAGTGGCCACCATTAAAATGTTTTGCATCAAAAGCCGAATAGGCACGGGCGTTAAACCTAGGGCGGGCCACAAGATATTTCAGATAAGAAATAAGGCCCAGACTAGGTTTAACTTGTTGAACTAATATGGGTAGTAAGTATTACATTTGCACAACCTTTAACTTTTAATTAAGAGCCTTTGGCTTATACATACCTTTCTGGGTTGCTTTCTTTAAACTGTTCTATCATTGTCATAGGGAGAGAGCTCATTCCATTTTTGAGTGATTTAAATCGTATTTCATCCCAGGATCCCCCAGCAGCGACAGGTACATTTATAGCTGCATTTTCTTCAGAAAATTCAAACCCAGAAGCGTCTGAGATATATTCCATTGCTTCCATCGAGCCACCGTATTTGCGCCAGATTCTGTCATATCTGGAATGATTCGAGTATTTGTTTGATCGTTTAATATATTCAAACCAAGTAATCTCAGTGGTTTAGAATCGTATAGGTTGACTTTAAAAATAGAGAGGTTAAGTTGCACGTTTTTAGAGAATCTGTACGTAGCGTGTAATATTTCGACCTCAGGGGATTACTGTCCCGCTCTCAATTAGCTTTTCTAGGGACTTAATTGCAATTATTGTATACTTAAAATTCAATCGGCCAAGATAACACTACAAATTGGAGAACTTATCCACAGAGGACCATAATTCTACACGTTCACTTACAAGTTTAAATGAGCCAAAAACGCGTATATTAACCTCCCTAATATCTTATTCGGAAAGGAATGAATTTAATGAATATTGCAGAATGGGGAATTGCCTTTGTTTGAATAAATCAATCCCATCTTTATCTAGTTTGTTATCACCAGAATCGGGATTTGGAACGCTAGCTTCGTAGATTTTCCTGCGCAGTTGTGTTGGGGATTTTCCCACTTCATCTTGGTACAAATTGTAGGGTACTTTAGAACTATTCAGGTCGTTATATTTCATATGTTTTCCTCTGAGGTGGAATGTATTATTCTGGATGTTCGATTTAAAATCGCCACTGTAGTCTTGAAAGTCCATGGTTTCCAGTTTGAGAGATTCTATTGCGTTGCTGACTAACACGTGACCATACGTTCCCTCCTTCGTTTTCACTGCTGGAAAGTACCTCATCGCGCCCATCTCAGCCATTCTGTAGTCGATACCTTTTAAACCAAAAATTAGAACCCGAGATGCTTATAACTGAATGCAGAAACCAATGCCATCAAGTTAACGTACATTGTATGTCGTACTTGGACAATTTAGACTTGTAATGGAAACGTTAAAGTTACCGTGAACGCAAACTAAATGTATCAATACAGTAATGTGTATACCGCAAAACAAGCGTTACTTAGTATGGAATTCGACGCACAGTGTAATGAATGCTGAAGAAATATGTTTCGATTTCATATGCATTGCTAAAAGTCTCCATTATAAGTCGTATGACGTGTCTCGTGATCGAGTAATAGACTCAACGTGTTAGTTTTTATTCTGCAAACAGTACATGCATAACATTTATTGCAATTCTGTTAACTTTTACTTGAAAGAATTAAAATAAAGTAACGTTATGCTATACCCGGTAGTTTTCGACTGTATACACGCCCTCCTATTCGGTTGGAATATTCAAATAAGTGTATGGACTGTTTGCTTTCCTTTAACTTCCAGGCTGTATATGCGCCACCTATTCCCCCACCTATCACGGCTATGTCTATCGGAATACCTGGAAGTAATTAAATATTAATATGTGATTATCATTGATGATTAGAAGATGCAATGAAGTTTAAAGTGTATATACGCCATCATTAATTGATTAATGAGACACCTTATTACCTTTAAAAAAGTATTTATTTGGTCATAGATTAAGACAACAAAATCGGTTAGAGGGATCAAAAAACTGTACCCCATTAGTACGTCGTCATAGTGAAGCTTAAACAATGGACATTAATAGATAAACTATCTTTAACCTGTATAAATATTTGAGCTAATTTTTTCACCAATTAGATGAGATTGCCTTACAAGTCTAAGAAATGTTAACACCTTACGGTTGGTGAGATATATTTTTTGAAAAGAAGACCAATAAAGGCCGTATACTGCCACGTCATTAATTCTTCCTAAAATAGAAACGCGATACCTCAATAGCGTTTAGGGTTAACACTTATCAGGTTAAATCAAAGTTTAATACTCACATTTTGATGTAGGTGTTGAAGTATCTGTCGATTTTGTACATTTCCTCAGGCAAGGTTCAAGAGCAAATTTCAAAGGCATACTTGCATCATTTAGGCACTTTTTCCAACAGCCACCATCACATACAAATCCCTAAATACGAAGATCGCACATTCTTAAAGATGTTTTGATTATTAATTAATTACGATCCACAGATAGCTAGGAAAAGTGTGGCCGATCCACACATAGCTAGGCAAAGTGTGCCCGATTCCAGCCAATCCGAACACAGTATTCCATGGATTATATTGTATAACCAATAACGCATTCGTTGTATGGTTGTCAAGGTGACATCGACTTTACAGAGTGAAATTGAAGGTTCACCAACTTGACCCTTGTAAAAAGTTTCACTGAAAATATGTTCATTTAGTGATTTTGTGTCTTTTTAGTAACAATGTAGAAAATACTTTGCAATGTATGAAAAGAATTTAAGCCTATGACTCAAAACATCGTTGAGTAACCATTCCTTTCAGGCGTTGTTTTCTCAAATTAACACTTGATGATGCGCATCTCGTGCAAATTTTTGAAAACAATGGTCATTCCACATTGCACTAAGTCCAGGGCTTAAATGCAGTCCATTGGGCACCTCCCTAAACAACTATTGTTAAGTAAGGGGGGGGGGGGGTGGGGTACGTACATGGTCTTGAAAAAAGACTAGATGAATGATGGCTGTATTGGACTTTATTCGGTTTTGGCCCAGTGTAAAAGGGTAGGAGGTCCTATCAAATTATGGTCCTACTCTCCATTGATTTATTTGGTGACCTAAATACATTAAATCCCTTATTATCTTATACGCAATCAGGGCCAGTAAGGGCCGTTAAGGAAAGGGGACCATAATCCCTGGGGGACCATAATTTCTTTCACACCGGATCGGGCCTTTTATACTAAACGGTGAGCAACACCAGAAACGAGCGTTCGATTTGCTAAACGATATGCGTCACCCTTTAAAGCTCATCGAGATTGTCCCATCTTACTCAGATACTCGTACTACAACTCGCCATCGGACTCGTCATATGGGAAAAGCCACCCTTTCTCATTTGACTAATACAGCTATCTTTACCCCATGCAAAACTTTCTTAGTACCTGTGTAAGATCATCCATTCTTGATTCGCTAATTTTTCTTTATCACTATCAAAGCTCATCGAGATTTTACAATCTTACTCAGATACCCACATTATGTACATCTTTATAAATCGCTAAATTGATTTTTAAAATTAAAAATATCTTTCCAAAGTTATATATACATTTCTTCAAGTACATGGAATATACCAATTAATTTACCTGCTGAAGTTTACAAATACTTTTGCATTTTTCGCTTAATCTTTCCCTCCTGCAAATCCTCTTGCAGGGTTTACAAATATGGCCAGCAAAACCATCAGATGCTGAAAGAAAAAATGAGCTATGTACCCAATTTGAAAAAGAGGGTTTAATAATAAAGAACCATGTAGCATTCTTTATTAAAAATTTAATAGCATGAGCACATGCATCATGTACTGCACAAAAGCTTTCGAACCCCTCACTCGAGCTCCCTTCGGTCAATCGTTCGGGGTACAAAAACGTCTGTGCCTAGCCCTGCGGTCTGTATTCGTCGATATAGCACCTGCCCTTTTGGTCTAAATTTCTCAACTAAGATATGGTGGTTCAAACGTTTCAATTCAATGTATAAAAATCTTTAAAACTTGATTTGTTGCAAAATAATTTACACAATACCAAATAAACCGTTCAAAATCATCTGTCATTTTTTTCTTACCTAGAACTGCCAACACTATAGCCAGAATGGCCGAAAGTATGTTGCCCCGATGTATCATGATCATGTTGAACAAATAATACAATGGTAAAATAAAGTCTAGACAATACGCACGATGACATCATCTATCATAAGCGTTGAAACATTAATTCCCTATACTCACGCGGTACTAACTTCGACCGTTAATTTGAATTTTTGACCTACCAGATGCTCGAAATTCAAGGATTGCGAGTCTCATACTGCACCGTTTTTCTTCAAACTTATACCATTAAAAGCAAAACTAAATTGCCTTTCTGTCGGTGCATTACTTTATTGTAAAGAGTCCCTCGTTCTAGCAGCGTTTTGATCCCCAGCTGTTAGAAGGCCTTCTTACAGCTGGGGACCAAAATGCCGCTGGAAGTAGGGACTCTATTTAAGAGAATAATGTACCAAAAGAAAGATTTTTGTTATGCTTTGAATGGAACAAGTTTGAAGAAAAACGGTGCAGTATGAGACTCGTAATCCTTGATTTTCAAACATCCGGTAGGTCAAAAATTCAAATTAACGGTCGAAGTTAGTACCGTGTGATACGGGTATAAATCAAATGAAGCTCTAGTGTGGTTAATATCAAAAGTATCATGTAAAGGTTAAACCACTTTAGGTAATAGTGTAATTGTTTTCAAGATATGATATATGAAACATTTATTTTCAATTAAAAAGTGGTTTTGATTAATTCACAATTATTGGTAAACATATAGGCTACACAATTAAAACTATTATTCTATCGCTTGATCTGGACATTTATTTATTATAGGCTTTGTTGCACAAATTCCATTAAAATGGACTGACAATAGATATTATTTCACCTTAGGCAATTGAATCACTATTTTGAATCAATTGCATGAATATCCGTAAACATTCATAAAATACACATGAATTTAGGAGTAAATTGCATTAATATCAGTAAACATTGATGACATACACATGAATTTAGGAGTAAATTGCATGAATATCCATAAACATTCATAAAATACACATTAATTTAGGAGTAAATATTGATCTCGATTGATGTTAAAATCTGAATAAATGCTAATCTTACTTTTTCATTTTTCAAAATGTCTCCAAAGTATTCCCGGAATAAAATAATTTATTCATAATAACTTGTTTTTCCTGGGATTTTTCAGGATGGGATAGGAAAAAAAAATACTAAGTAATATGCATCATAGCCAAAACATTTTTTGCAGGTTATTTTTTTTATTAAGTCCCTCTAGATCCGTTACAAAATACATATACATACATTGGCATATAGTAAACAAGGTACAGACTTTTTGGTAATCTATATGATTAATATAAAATCTGCATTACTACATTCCTATTTAAAAGAGAACTTTATCTATATTCTGTCAGCTATCTATGTATTATCCTTTCATTTAGCCTTAAAGTTGCAACAATTAGTGCAGACGATCAATGATCATGGACCAGTGTCAAAATATATTTAAGTTTGGATATTTCATCAAGACTTACATCAATTTTTATTATCTTCAAAGAGGCCCCTTAGATAAACATTATTTCAGCAGATATTCCTCTTGAAACACGGTGGATCTTAAAAATATAAAAAGTGGATTTCCCCTTTTTGAAGCTTTGAACTGAATTTACATTTCTTAATGCTGAAATTGATAGTTTATCCATACATTTTAAGAAAATAGGTATGTAAAAGAAGATGTTCAGTCAAATGTTGCCTTGATAGCTCAGAAAATTTCCCCTGGCCTTGTTGCCCCTTAAAGGAATATTCCTTGCCAAACCATCTCTCTCCTCATATGGTAGCTATAACCATATATATGCTTGCCATGTTTAGCAAAACACGCAAAAATGTTTTGATATGGTCAAATTTGATCACTTAGAAATGTGATGCTCAATTCCAATAAGCTGCCATCTTTTAAAATTTCACACAGGAAGTGATGTCATCGACTCTCAACTTTGCATATAGCATTAGGTGAGGAGCTATTAAGAATTACAAAACCATCTAAATATTCTTTTTCAACTTTGTATCTTATTTAATCCTTCTGAAAATCTCTTCTTTTATTCTAAGTTGACAAGCCCTGAAAATATTTTTGCACAGAAAGTAATGATCACTTGTCTAGAAGTGATTTTGTGCTACTTTCCTATACTGTTATGGGCAAGGTTATAGAAGTTGAGAGTTGATGACATCACTTCCTGCAAGAAATCTTAAAAGATGGCAGTTCACTGGAAATAAGCACTAGATTTTTAAATGATCAATATTGACCATATTAAAACATTTTCCCATGTTTTGCTAAATATGGAAACTATATATGATTATAGCTACCATATCAAGAGAGAAAGGGTCTGGCAAGGAATATTCCTTTAACCAATCATTTTCCCATCGTGGTAAGCCACACCCTCTTCATCTCTATCCTTCTGGATAGCATCTGCGATGCAACAGAGAGAGATGCTATGAGTATCAGAATGGCATTTTCCTAAGAAAAAGAAAGGTACTCTTGATTTTGGAGCCCTGCGCTCAGAGGATGCACAAATATGCATCCATCTTACTCTGATATTCTTATTCTGAAAATTAAACTTTCATAAAGGCCATGATCAAAACTCTATAGATATTTACCTTATTCAGAACTAGGCTGTGACAATCTGGGTAGAAAAAAGCTATTTATTTAGGGAAACTTTATGATCATCTACCCTTTGCATTCACTTGATTTAAACAAACTATTCATTTAGTATTCAAACCTCAGAGTATTATTTAGATTCCTTGCTTTATTTTGCATGCACTTTGATAAAATCATCCAAAAATACTAATCTAGTAGTCACATTAAAAATGTGACCACAAAATTTATTAAGACACATTTTTAATTACTATTAACATGCAAAATATGTATATTCTTTCACATTATAAATGCAGGAGACACAAGCTAGTTACTGTAAAACGGGTATTGTTAGCGAGGGGTAATTGTTAGCGATTGTTGGCGATCGCTATAGTTTAGCTAAAAATTCAATTCGCTAAAATAAACCGGGGTTAAAATAAACCGGGCGCTAAAATTTGCAAATATCCGGGAAACTACATGAATACTAGTATTTAAGGAGCTTTTCGTTCAGTGCTTGGACCGAAAATCAGTAGTTACAGTAGTTTGGACCAATACCATGTGCTTTAGAAGTCTTACATTTTGATAATTCCTCTGTCATGTCCGTTTTTCATTCTTCTGCCATAAATGATTAAATTTCTAATGCATTTCGCTAATTTGATTTTTTAAAGATTTATCTTCATTTCGCTAAAATTTCCCGCGCTAATACCCCCTAAAATTGAAAAATCGCTAAAATTTCCCGGTGTCAAAATTACCCGTTTTACAGTAATTTAAAGAAGATGTTCAGAGATTTCAATCCAGTAAATTGCTCTACAAAAATATTGCTTCATTTCAAGATGGTGGCTTATCTATACGGGGAATAACAGGAAGTATGAGGTTTCCGAATGATGAATCCTGGGTAATAAAATATCCAACAGAGTTTGCGTGTGCATGCTGCAGTGCCGCCCTCTGGGCTGGCGTCATAGTCTGGTTGTCATTTCCATTGTTAGATGGCGCTATATTCTGTGCTTGATTGGCACCACTGATTGGTTGGACAGTCTGCATTTTTAATCGTTTTTTCTGCTCCTGAAGTTCTTCGAGAATTTTACGATTTGCGCTACCTTGAACGGCACTTGGGGCCTGGAATGCCATCTTTATTATAATAGTCACTTTGCTTGGTAAGATCAACAAATATTTTTCAATAAATCAATCGCTAGATCATTTGTTTATGCTCCAAGAGAGATGTTGTGAAATACTCAATCATCTGTACCACCAGACTATATTTCCTTGCCACAATCAATTGTCACCTTTTTCGTCACCAACTTTGTCACATTTGTGAGTCACTATTCACCTGCGGGCTCTTCGGCTAATGGGTCTCTCTGAAAATGTATATGTTGAATTTATTTAGAAATTGTTACAATCATTGTCTTAGATAAGAATCTTCATTCTCCAAGGACAATTGTTTATCATCCATTCGGATCAAATTCAATATTTTGCTCGATAGTGATTTTATATTCCGTAATCCCCGATATTTAGCAAAAATGTTCAATATCATAGGCACAGCATAATTAATGCAAAATCGAAGATTGTCCCTGGGCCTTATCGCATCCTACGACCCCTTTAGATTGTGGTCGTACGCCCGTATCATTAGTAAGCCTGTCTTTCTACAATGTCGGAGAATGAACTACAAATTGCACTATTAAATGACCTACCTCGATACATTCCAGAGTATTTTAGAATTCTTTTTATGTTGTTAGATCGCCAATTGTATGGGTTTATCGGCAGAACAAAGATATTATCGTTTTTGATAGCAATATTTGCGTGTAATATTTAACTTATTTCAACCGTCAAATTCCTCCATTCAGTTCCCGGCATGCACCAGAAATAAGGGAAATCCCTGGGGAATTCCCCTTCTGACATTTTGAAAATTGCTGACATATTTCGGATGTTAAAACTAAAATCTCTTCATTCTGCCGATAAACCCATACAATTGGCGATCTAACAACATAAAAAGAATTCTAAAATACTCTGGAATGTATCGAGGTAGGTCATTTAAGAGTGCAATGCGTAGTTCATTCTCCGACATTGTAGAAAGACAGGCTTACCAATGATACGGGCGTGCAACCACAATCTAAAGTTATTGAATTCTACGACCACTTTCGATTGTGGTCGTATGCGCGTATAATTGGTAAGTCAATGTTTTTACAAAGTTGGAGAAAATACTACGCATTGCACACCTAAATGACCTACCTCGATACATTCCTTGATATTTTAGAATTCATTTTATGTAGTTGAATCGCCAATTGTATGGGTTTATCGGCAGAACGAAGAGGTTTTTGTTTTTGATAGCAATATTTGCGTGTAATATTAACTTATTTCAACCGTCAAATTCCTCCATTCAGTTCCCGGCATGCACCAGTCATAAGGGAAATCCCTGGGGAATTCCCCTTCCGACATTTTGAAAATTGCTGATGTAAAAACTAAAATCTCTTCGTTCTGCCGATAAACCCATACAATTGGCGATCTAACAACATAAAAAGAATTCTAAAATACTAAGGAATGTATGAGGTAGGTCATTGAGGTGTGCAATGCATAGTATTTTCTCCAACTTTGTAAAAACATTGACTGACCAATTATCCACGCGTACGACCACAATCTAAAGTGGTCGTAGAATTCAATAACTTTAGATTGTGGTTGCACGCCCGTATCATTGGTAAGCCTGTCTTTCTACAATGTCGGAGAATGAACTACGCATTGCACTATTAAATGACCTACCTCGATACATTCCAGAGTATTTTAGAATTCCTTTTATGTTGTTAGATCGCCAGTAGTTAAAGTGGTCAGTAGGATACAATAACCTGGGCCTATGTTTTTTATTATAGTGTCTAGTGCTTATTCTGCTTAGCGACTTGGAGCTCAGTTTATCTCAGTAAGATCTTAGAGAACCACATTTGTGTAGAATATGTAAAAAGCTCCCAGTTAGTCAAATTTTCTGGTTAAAATTTTTAAGACGGGGTGGTTTTCTTGAAGACATAATAAAATCGGGACCATTTCATTGTTAGAAGTGCCTGGAATCGCTATCTGATGGTCAGGAATAGCCCCGGGGGGTTCACTGTATATAAAACTCGACGGGGGTCCTAGGCTAAAGCCTCAAATATCAATATGTTCCCATACCAATCTGTCAAATTTCAATATGTTCCCATACCAACCAAAATAATGCCTAAAGGCCATACCAAATGTCCAAATATAGGACCAATGCCATACCAAATGTCCAAATATAGGGCCAATGCCATACCAAATGTCCAATTATGGGACCAATGCCATACCAAATGTCAAAATGTAGGACCAATGCCATACCAAATGTCCAAATATGGGACCAATGCCATACCTTAATTCAAAGCTTAAATGTAGTAAAAATGGGGTAACAATCAAAATAGGCTATTGAAATATTTTTCAATGAGACTTAACGTCAGGGGGATTTTTTTCAAAAAATTGGCGGAGGTTTAATTTGGCGGTTTTGATCAATCTGTCAAATTAAAGCATAAGCTTCAAATCGTTGGAAATCAAACACTTTTCGAATTGAGCGTCCATTTTTCTTGGCGGCAAGTTTTGTATTGAAATCACGAAAAATCCCGCAAGACTTAATTTCCCGGGAAAAAGGCTAAAATTCAAAAGTTGAAAAAGGGCCTGGAAAAGAAGATACTTTGGAAAACGATCCAAAACAACTTCAAATTTGCAACTACTGGACCAATGCCATACCACGAATGTTAGGTAATGTATCTACAACGACCATTCTCATACCAGAAGAGCAAAAGTCTGACCATTGCCATACCTCAGAAGTCAGAAATTTCCGGGCATTCCCATACCAAATCCTAAAATATGGGTCCATTGCCATACCAAACGTTGAAAAAGGTACCCCACATGCGCCGAGGATCCCCGTCAAGGTTTATATATAGTGAACCCCCCGGGGGAATAGCCTTTCCCAATGGCCATGATGATGGGACATCTTGAAGTCTAAAGTCCATTTCACTGCTTCATTTCGTCAGTAGAACGGCAAAAATAAGAAATTGGGAGACCATTGTGCAATAATATATGGAAAAGTATATTCATAATGTACATGAATGACATTTGTATATTTTGTGCAATAAGCCTGTGCCGTCTTGTAATTTGAAAAATTTCAGCCATGTTAATCTTATTGAAAATAACATGGCAGAGAAACATCGAAATATAAGAGGCCACACGCTTTATAAGCCAAACTAGAAGCAATCCAAGATAAACAAATGTCATTCATTAGACTATAGTCAGGAAAAATTGAAATTTGTCCCAATTGTTTTTGAATTGTTGTAGCCTAAAAGTAACAATATAAGTTTATTTAAACTGCTAAAGGTATACTTACATATTTTCTTATAACATATAAACTAAATATTGTTCATTAACAACAAAGCAAACGACATTATTTGGTCATTTTGTATATTTTTTGTTTTGAGGGTGAACCAATTACTAACTTCCGGTATTTCATCATGACACGCCACATATAGTTTTCAACTTTTCTTCAGCGGGAGATTTAAACTACAATGCACGCGTTGTTATAAACATCGTTATAAATCAATGATAGATGTGATATTCTGGCAATGTACTCAAGGCACGGATTGTGGCAAGTCCTACTATTAGCTGGTTATATTCTTGGTTCAAAGGGTGTATCCCGGGTTTACATTGGCCCCTCAAAAAATTAAACAAGGCATTAACATGACAAAATGTCACCACCTAGTTGCTCACAATATTATGAATTCAATCTTGTCAGATTTGAACTTCTGAGATTTTGTAGATGATTTTGAAAAAATTGATCAAATAGAAGGAAGATGAAAAAAGACTTTTTTGACCTTGAGAATGTCATTGAAGGTCAAATCTTTTTTGACCTTGAGAATGTCATTGAAGGTCAAATCTATAGTCTGATTTGAACTGAAAAAGACCCTTTTGACCTTTTTTGACCTTGAGAAGGTTAGTGAAGGTCAAATCTCAAATCTAAAGTCAGATTTGAACTTCTGATAACTTGAAGATGATTTTGAAAAAGAATTGGACCTTATTTACCTTAAACTGACATCCCAATCAACGTACCAGTGACGCAACCAATCAGCAAACAACCAACAAAAAATAAAAACGCCAAATAACGTTTTAATTTACGCGTACGTAAATCTTCCAGATTTGTTTAATATCTAGTAGAAATCGCCATCATAGAAAAAAAATCATCGATATCCTGTCAATCACTCAGACAATAAATCAAGCAACTAACGTCATCGTACGTGTAAACTGTGTAATTAACTACCTAGGACTTCCGAAATTCAGTCTCTTACAGGTTCTTGGTAAAATGATAACGTAAAAATATTATATTGAAGGGTAGTCTACAAATGTGCAACTTTAAAAGTTTGTAACCCTGCAAGGTACGTTGAGTGCCCGGTTACCCGGCCACCCGTTTTTTGACACAAACCCTGAAGTCAGTCTAAAAACAGTATTTGTTAAGTTATTGGAAGTTGTAAGAATATGTTACAGACGCCGATCGCCTACCGCCAACCGCCGTAAAAACGCACACCATAACAATATGTAAATAAAAAACCCTGAAAATAGCATGATTTGTGCATCTAGAAAAAATAAAATCATACTCCGTGGGCGTGGCAGTGCTAGTCTGGGGGGGGGGGGTACCACACAGCCTATTTAATTTTGTAGTATTTTAATTTATTTTATATTTTACAAGGAATTTGAAAAACATTAGAATATGGCGAGGATGAAGAAAAGTTTCTGGGCAAGTTCAAGTGTTTGAAAGAGGCAATCAAAAGAATACCCTGCGTGCAGAGTCTAGTGAAGACGATGCTCTCTTTTAAGAAGTGAAGTCGAACGAATGCAAATGGTATCAAAAGAAATTCTGAGTTTTCTCGATCATTTTCCTTTTGTGGGGAGCTAGGGCGCAGAGGGAGAGGGGTGCCCCGTCCCACTGGAAATTAATCAATTCACGATCCTACCTGGATATTTACTTTTAATGTGCTGGAGTAAATAAATGCTATATTTTTGTTTTTTTTCTCTGACCTGAAATTTGCCCCCCCCCCCCCCTTCTTGGTTCCCAGACCTGCCCCTGGGGTGCCAGAAATGTTTATGATTACGATATGACATGTGGTGATTGATTTCTGGGCACTTTTAAAGTGTTTAAATTAACAAATACAAATCTAAAAAAGATACAACACAGTATTTGGTGATTTTGTTGTACTTCAAATGTAGAACTGAATAAAATATCAATTGTTTCATTTTAGGGGATGACAGAAAATTGGTGGAGACTTAACTTGGTGATTTCTATCCATCCACCAAATTCAAATGGCCATTAAATTAAAGCAACTTTTAGTATCAAGATTAAATCAGTATTAGATTAGTTCCATCAATGCAAAAATGAAATTTGAGTTAGTTTTATCCTAACATGCCTTTTGTTTCAATTTGATTTCATAGATGTTTGAGCATTTCTTTGTAGTTGTCTATAATCGGAACTTCATAAGTTTTCTGCAAATAAATAACAACCAAACAATTTAAGAATAACATTTACAATGTATGTATTACCACTAACTAAAATTGATTCCATACACCCATGTCCGTTTCGACACAAATCAAGTTACATCAAGAATCCAATCAAAAATAAGTTAATCTGTTCTCAGTTCTCTTCCATTGAGTTCAAAGGATAATGTCTATGCAAGCCAACATGTATAGTCTTGAGATTTTGTGTTTGCTACATGCAGGCCCATAGCCAGAATTTTCCAAGGGGGGTTCACTTTTCCAAAAAATTCTAGGGGGGGTTCACTTTGGCAAATTTGGCCAAAAATCACTCGAAAAATAGTCAGAATGGTGAAAAATTGCATGATTTTGAAAGAAATTATGGCCAGGGGGGGGGGATTTGCCCGAACCCCCCCTGGCTATGGGCCTGACACGTAATCCCCTTCATGTGGTATCCATTGTGAGTCTTAACAGGGGATCAGTGTATGGGTTCAGCATGTTTATCTCTGATATAAAGTGTAGATGCAGAAGTTGAGCTGTTCAGAAGAATACTCCGAAGATTGTGAGTTGTGAGTACAATGTCCATGAATCCAAATCACAATGAGATAAAACTATGCTTTCTTGCCCTCAATCATAATAACATGGTATCCATGTTTAGTCTTTACTGGAGGGTCGGTGTATACAGGTTTAGCTGTGGTACTGGTAGGAAGAGCAAAAGCTGCATCCTGGAAAGGTCCAACCATACTTCCTCTAACCATCCACCCGAGGTTGCCCTGGAAACAATCACGTGTTTTATTCATTTTATTCAGTGGAAATACCACATAACACAGCCTTAAAGAGGTATACCAATAATTGGTATACAATTTATGTGAAATATGTTAAAAATCACTTATCAGTCATATAAAAGAATGAAAATTATGAACTTCTAGTTCTTTGTTTTCACTTTAAATATAATTGGAGGTACAATAAAATCTGTTTTAGAAAAAAACTCCTATAAGGAACAGTGTTTTAAGGCATGTCCACAAACAACAAATAGTTATAATGTATATCCTATTGTTGAATCATTCAAGCAAAATATTTGCAATTATTTTCGAAGAAATGTGATAAATACTAACCATTTCATTACTGAAATAACATGGACATTAAAAGCGAAAGTGCCCCTTTTAGGGCGATACACATTGTGGCATAGTAATGATGGAAATAATTAACACTACATATATTAACAATTTATATACTTTGTATATTCTATAATATTCATGTTTGGTTACACTCACCCCATCTTTAGCTTTATCCTCACTGTACTGTGTAGCGACTTCATTAAATTTTAGACCTGCCTTTAATTTCTCTATAGCTTCCATTGCCTTGCCCTGCTTCTCACATAGGATGTGACGTACCTAAAACAATTAATGAAATACTTTTCTAATCAAAGGCAAAACAGATGCCACACTACGTTTTAATTTCAATTTGTATAATTTTTCTATAGAGTTGAAAGTGGTCAAATCTAGATCTAGTGGACAGGGAGAATAAGCTTACAATATATTTGCCGGGTATTTGCTTCATACAGGCATTGGCTTCAACTAATTGTGTATTGTCAATATGTTGACAGTAAATCTCAGGGCTGTCAACTTGGGACCGTCTAACATGAGTGACTTCCAAATGTTGAACACCTGCTCATGTTTCAATGTGGGGAGTAGGTGTAAATTTTTTCGAAACAAATGCGTGATATATACACATATTTTGCACAAAATGCGTGACATAAACAGCAATCGCATGCAAAGACCGAACGGAATGCGTTCGCTTTTTTTCGCCGTTCGGTATTTTACCGTATCGGCATTTCACAAAAAACAATTTTTAAAAATATCAACAAAATGCGTGATATTTGATCATACACGCTAAATTGATACGTGATTTCTATTTTTCCAGCAAATGCGTGACAATCACGCCTAATGCGTGAGGGTTGACAGGGCAGAAATCTAGTGTCATGTCATTCACTATGGAATAAGTTCTGCAACAAAACTTTAAACTCAGGCACAATTTGACCACATATTGAGCAAATTCTACACGACACTGCCTACAGTAATAAACAAAAAATAATTAGTCTACAATAGTACAAATGAAAAATAAACAAACTTTGATTGAAGATCCTCCTTTTATGTCCTTCTTTCCTCCATCATCATCTCCTCCGCCACCTCCTTTGGCTCCCTTGCCTCCCTTTCCTTTAGCACCTCCCTTGGCTCCACCTCCTTTGTCCCCTTTACCTTTAGGAGGCATTATTTTGTACTAAATCTGAACAATTTGTGAATATTTTGAAAAATGTGGAGTCTAGCCGAACTTGTTTGTGACGCCGATTCTCATTGGTCAAGGAAATTTAGGCCAATCAAATCTGTCGTTATCAGTGGGTGATAATTAATGTTTCATTTTTGCTGTACAAATGTTATTTTGATGTTTTAGTCTTTATCTTAACTAATATACATAGAATCGGTAAGTTGTTTCGTCAGAACTTGAACTTATGTGTCAGTAATATCCAGATTATACTTGAAGAATCATCGAGTGCTCGTAATCTAGTATTATAATAGGTTACACAAATTTTCAATTGTTGAAGCAATTAAAAATCCCATTCAGGACCATAATAACGATTCATCTCATAATTTTCATTGGAGTACTGTCTAGCTAAACTATATTCTGAGAAAATTTTTTGAATGTCAATTGTGATCCAAGTGTCTCATCTTCTCAATTTATGGCCATTTATGTCAGTCAATTCAAAATTCTCCAGAAATTACGAAGACTGGTCAATCAAAAAATCTTTCAATTAGATTGACAAAAATCACAGTCTCAATCTGTCTCTGAAACTGATGCAGGTGATATCATGCAGCTTCGGTATTTGATCATTTTATTTTTTGTTACAGAGTGAACTATGTCGTCGGATCGAGAGAGTGACAGCTCTCAGTCTAGTTCAGACGAGTCAGAAGAGGACATTCTCAGTCAAATCCTGCCAGGAAGATCATCAACGAGAGGACACTCAAAGAAATCATCGAGGAAGAATAGGAAACATACTGATGTTATTGAAGAAATTGAAACATGTAATAGACCTGTGTTACCACAAGAAACAAAAAACGCTCATTCCAAGGGGAGTAATGAGTGTAAACAAGACCCCTTAGATAAACCTAAAAATATTGGACCAGCTTTACCACCAGGGTTTCAGAAATCAGAAAGTATCGGACCAGCACTCCCTCCAGGATTTGAAAAATCAGACAGTATTGAACATACACTCCCTACTGGGTTTAAAAGTTTAGAAAATGTTGGACCTGCTCTCCCACCAGGGTTTGAAAAAACACATAACATCGGACCCGCTTTCCCACCAGGGTTTGAAAACAAAAAAAATATTGGACCTTCTCTTCCACCTGGTTTTGAAAAGACACAAAATGTTGGACCCGCTCTTCCACCAGGGTTCGAAACATCTCATTCTGATAGTGACAGTTCTTCAAATGCATCGGAACATAATGTGACATCACAGCCTCAATCTGACTCTGAAGATGATGCAGGAGATATGATTGGTCCATTACCTGGCACATCTACAGGGACAACGGAAATGTCTGCTGCAGAGGAGTTTGAAAAGCGAGCAAGGAAAATGAAAGATAAACTCCTCGGCAAGGTACTAGTAGATGATAAAAGTTACCATTTTTTCTTTTATTAATATTCTAAAATTTTTTAGAATCATTTTCTGAAATAAAGAATTCAAATATATGATCAAATGAATAAGTTTAAGTGTAGAACTATTCAAAATTGCAATGTATAATTTTACAGTATATTTTGAGTGCTATATACAAATGATTTGGTAAGAATTAAGACTACGTGAGATATTTTGCTTATTTTGCCTTCAGATTTTCAGGATAAATGAATAATTGAATGATGCATCACAGGTGAAAAAAATCATTGAGATCAATCAATAAGAAGTATCTTTGTAAAAAAGTGTCCAATGTTTATTGATCACTCCTCGTATATTATTTCAGGTTGCTCCAGAGTGTCCAATATTTATTGATCACCCTTGTACATTCTTTTAGGAAGCTCCAGAGATTGAAGAGTCTGCATCAAGAGAAACTTGGATGACAGAGCTCCCAGATGGTATGTCGAAAGATTTTGGACTAGGACCACGGACATTCCGATCCAAAGCACCTGCCGAGCAAGATTCCTCCTGGACTGACACACCATCTAGTAAAAATAAAGAGAAACAGGTTTGTCGAACAGGATTTATGCCAATAAATTTGATTGAAGTTCTGAGGGAATAAAGTGACATGAGCCTCCTTTTGCTATCCTATTTGGACATTTCTCAATCAATGCCAATGCGGAATGATGTTTCAATTTGCTAATATTTCACTGCTAATGTTTCAATGTGCTATAATTTCACGGCTAATGTTCACTGTGCTATTTCACTGCTAGTGGTAATGTATCATTGTGCTAATGTTTCGCTGCTAGTATTTCATTGTTCTATGATTTCACTGCTAATGATTCAGTGTGCTAATATTCAAATGTGCTCATGTTTCAATGTGCTAATGTTTCAATGTGCTAATATTTCAAAGTGCTCATGTTTCAATGTGCTAATATTTCAATGTGCTTATGTTTCAGGAGAAGGGCTCTAAGAAGAGGTCTGCAGAGAAAGTTCCGAGATCGGAGAAAGAGATTGAAATAGAGAAGGCCATAGAGAAATATAACGTAAGGAGATAGTTTGTGTCTTATCAAATTTTAATGGGTTAACTCAAAATATAAATGCTCATGAAACATTTTTTATCCAATTTAAATGTCAATTTTCCAATATGTGACATCAGTTGTAATCTCCAGGCCAGCTTTTGCCAAGAGAGTTTCACTTTTCAGAAAAATTCCAGGGGGGGGGGGTTCGCTTTGTCAAATTTGGCCCCAAAAGCATATGAAAAATGCTCAGAATTGTGAAAAACTGCATGATTTTGAAATAGTTTTTGGCCAGGCTGTTTCCTGTTTGTCTCAAGCTTGTTTTGTATCAAAATGTGTCACTTTCAGCTCTTCAAAATTACTTCTTATACTTCACAACAATTATTTATATGACATTTCCAGAAGAAACAGAGGAAAGAATCCCTGATGGACATGCACACCAAGAAACTTAAAAAGAAACATGTGAGTATAACATATGCCAGATTGTGTTGGTATTTGTCAGACATCACATAGGTATTTGGAATCAAAATGAAAGAATCACTAATAGGCATGCACACATGACACAAATCTATTGTATATACTCAACTATTTTACGAGGGATGATCAAAAAGTTCTCATAATATTAGAGATTTTACTAGAACTTTATGATCATCCCTCTCATATTTTTTGAAAGAAACACAATGCAACATATTTCACTGAATACCATTGATATATGCACTAATATGCCCTCTTATGCCAAGACTGTTTATTAATGTTAGACAATTATTGTAGATAAATAAATATAGAAAATATTTAAATCCACCTTAAGAGTTCCAAATATGATTTTTATTTCAGAAAAAGGACAAAGACAAACCAAAGGAGCGGAGAGCATTTAGCCGCGAAGATGATCTCAAAGTAAACAAATTTGACGATGCACAAAAGAAATCAATCCTCAAGAAAGCTGCGCTACTTGACACACGATTTTCACATGGCAATAAAAAGTTTATTTGATGCTCCGATGAGTGACAGAGCCAGTTAAAACAGGCAATGACAATGCACAATGACACCATTTCAGAACTCGATAGGCAATTTGCGACCACCTGACTGAGATAATCTGAAGATTTTTGGAAAGTTCAATAATATACTCAGTTTTATGCATATATTTTATCAATTATTAGAAGAGATACTTATGTAATAAGTTGAGTCTTACCTCATTGAATCTTACTTAGAATAACAATGAAATGAAATATACACATGGAAAAATCCAATATTTCAACAAAAAGACCAAAACGTAAATCCTATATGGCATATGATATATTATTGATGTTTGACCAATGTCCAAAATATTTCTCTGACAAGGGCTGAAGCAAATGCTGAAATCTGATTGGTCAAACATCAATAATATATCATATGCCATATAGGATTTACTCGCGTCCAAAACGTAACTGAGTATTGAATTGCCACACTGAACAACTTGAACTGTTATTACATGTATTAATAGTGAGTGCCATGAGAATAAAATAAATTAATAAAAAAAAAATCCATTGAAATTGTTTACCTGCAGCTTGTTCATAAATCCACAAACCTGAACAAGATAAGGTGTAACCATTTCTTTCATTCTCAAATATTCCTACATTCATTTAACTTGAACCTTTCATTATGTAAACATGATACCACTGTTTCTTTATTTATTTTCATTTATTTTCCACATTGAACAATTACATTACAAAATCAGACACATTTTGCAAAAAACAATGCGTAGGTTAAGTAGATCGAAATAAATCCCTATCATTAAAATTCCTTATTATAAAATAATAAAATAAAAAGTACAGAGTCTGATGTTGTACTTTATTCTCCAACCTAACTAAATAATGTAAATAATAGACCTCTCCATTGAACAATGCTTTTTTGTATATCAACGAAGCTATAATATATTGGCTCGATTGATGAAGTAATTGGTTGTCGGTTGCAATTTGACCAAATGAATCAAAAATAGGATAAACTTTGGCCCACTGCATTAAGTTTTTGCTAATTTTTATAGCCGGTGTAAAATAAATTATTGTCCTCTGGGGATTATGGTCCCCTTTCTTAAAGGCCCTTACTGGCCCTGATTGTGGATACGATAATAAAGGAAAGAGTTGTATTTAGGTCACCATATAAATCAATCAAATATAAACCATAATTTGATAGGACCTCCTACCCTTTTACACCAGTCAATTTATCATAGCTTCTTTGATTTACCGTGACATACCGTGACGTGTTATGGGAAAGATCAAATTTAGAAATATAAAAATATATGTGCCATTTTTTAATCAAAGTGTCTAATTACATGTACTTTTAGATATAACTGGTTTTAATGTAAATAATTAGCCTCTTAAATTGAATAACATAAAAATAAAATATATGTGAGCTTATTGAAATAATATTGCTCACCTTACACTTTATAATACAGTGCTATATCAGATGTATAGTATAAGCTCATGGATGTACATGTATATAAATCTGAATCTGTATATATTTAGTTTCCATTCATGCCCTAAATTAACAAGGATCTCTTGATGTTAAAATAGTGTACCTGTAACCTCCAAATCAAATATTTCAACTAGTTTCCTTTATATAAAATTGTAATAGAGAATTTGTATTTTGTATAATAGTGGGGGGAATTTACCCCTATATTTGGCAGAATATTTCAGATCGTGATACAAGCATAAAGTTTTGCTTTTCTACTACTTCAAACCTTTTAAAAAAAATCTGTCCCTGTGATCAATGGATTTTTTTACTTTTTCCCCCCAAAATCCAAGATGGCCGACACACTATAGCTCTGAAAATATATTTAGCTCTGATTTGGCAAATACAGCTGAAATGTAAAGTTTAAATTGTGTTTTCAGGACTAAATGCACTAATAGGGACACCACATAATACGTGTCGTGAGCTTAAGTCAAAATAAATAATTATATGGGAGTTAAGCAAGGATCATTTCTGGCCCCCCTCTTATTTTGTTCATTTATAAGTTTGTATAACCCTACTCCTATGAATTAAACATAATTAGTAAGACTGTTCTTAAATTTTAGATTTCTATGCTCTGCTACATATCAAATTAGTTTGTATAAATGACCGTAGCCTAAAGAATTGAAGGATTTTCACAAATAAACGGTTTATCGAGTACAGACATTTACCATGCATTCACAATTACAGACTATTACAGCGACATCAGGACCACTAAAAGCAAATTCAATCATTCATTAAATTTTGGTTGAGGTTAAAAACATTAATACAGTCCATCAATGTATTCTATGCATTATTGAGTATGAATATGAAATATGTGGTTTTCCATGAGTCTTCAGTAAGGAGGAATGAAATACCAAGCAGGAAGGTGATGTGAAATTTGAGTAAGAATTTGCAAAATTTAAATCTAACAAAAATCTACCATTATTTGTAGAATTTTGATTAAATGTAAAATATTAATTCATCCCATAAATATATCTTATGCATTCTTTCACGGTGTCCAACCCAAACGCTCTTACATGCACAACGGAATGTTTCATCCATGCGGAAACCGGGCTAATGAACAGTGGAGACGATAACCCCATTTAACGTGTAACACGGAGATTGCCATTTTGCACGTCAATTGACGTGAATCACGCCAATAAGCATAATGTCCATTGTAATTCATAATTTAAGCACCAGGTTAATTAGAAGACCTAGTGTTTAATATATATACAATCTAATTAATATGTCTTTTATAGTACGTATACTTTGGTAAACATTAATGATATATTAAATCCCAGGGAAGTATTTTATTCCAAAATTGTGGAGAAAAATGCCGTTCAATCTTGTGAATTTTCTGTCAATGTTACAAACCAATGAAGTCACCACCGAACTAACATTCTTGGAAAGTCTAAATCGATCGATGGAACGCTTTTTATTGCATTTTCTTCAAGTATTTAATCTAATCTAGCACTTGTATGCAGGAATTCGCGATCCTATGTGGGAATTTTGCGGTAGAACTAATCAAAGTTACCTCTCACGAATCCTAGAAAAACGCCATATTGGAATTACTAATACTCCTTCAATTGTCTAGATATCGTCTTTCCGACGGGTTTTACGACAAAATTGGTACTGACCCAATGGTATTATAATCTCTAAACACAACGTGAGCCCCAATTCCGAGAAAAGACCGCTGGAAATCACTAAAATGGGGTCTACTTTCCCTCTTCTTTTTGACCGGAAGTGTTTTCCTGACCTCGGTGTGTTGCTGATTTTTTCGTTTTTTTCATACGAAAAACGACTGGATTTAGTTTTTAAACCTTCTTTGCAATGATCTAATGATTACCTTAAATGAATTATAAACAATTTAAATTCCTATCCTCATTAGATCAGAATTAATTAGTTTTCTTTCCATCGTTTGTTTACTTCCGGTTTGTTGTTGAATACATATTTCTTGTAAACATTGACGTAAGCACATCATAATTTTTGTTAGTTCAAAATTCAACGCGGACAATAGCAAATGTTTATGATTATAACTATTACATACGATGCAGATTATGATTTGCTCACTAGTTTCCCAGTTTATAACTGCCCGTCGTCCTGCCGATAATATGTGAAACTTTTAAAAGATAATAGTTTGCACGTCAATTGCCGTGCAAAATATTGCACGTCAGTTGACGCACATGACGGCAATTGCCGTTATTATCTACTGACATGCGCACTTATGCTTCATAATTTCACGTCAATTGTCGTGCAACATGGCAATTGCCGTACTTCACGTTAAATGGGGTTATCGTCTCCACTGATGAAGATCCCACTATGACTGTAAGTATTGTTTCACTAGTTTCTCTTACATATCACGCGTTATGGTGACATATTATGTACCATTCGATGAACAATACCCTGATCAAAGCTCCGTAGTGTAGATCAAACAAATCTGAAGTTGACGAATTGACCACAAATTACGAATTAAATTAGTATCTATATGAAATTTGCTCTAAAACATAAAACTATTGAACAAAAAGTTTATATGTGAATTAATCTTTCTTCTTTTGATGCCAAAGGATACAGTAGATCTTTTCTTTCTCTCCTTGAAAAGGAAAGTTGAGCCTAGTACCGCAGTGTTTCCAGTTCACTGTGTTAACCAGATCGCAGCATTTCTTGAATATGAGAATGTCATCATTTTTAAGACTTGATTTTTTGTTATCAAATCACGATGACGATAATGTATGGTGTGATCAAGGTTTGGAATTTGACCAAAATATACTCTGATGCTCAACTCAACTAGTCGCATGTCTCGACAAACAGGGTTTTGACCGGAAGAATGACAAATACGTTTATGAATTCAGATAACTATACTGCTTAAGACAGTTCTTCCTAATTGCTTCAAACGTCAACAGCCATCCAAGTACAATATATCACACCCATCAAATGGTATACTTGAAATAAGTAACACATACTTCTTATTCCCATCATTGGGGAAATTGTCAGATGACTCATCATTTCCGTTCGCCATACTCCAGAGCGTTTCTTTGTTTAGTTTCAGTAATGAAACGCTCAATCTTGCATGTAAGAGCGTTTGTGTTGGACACCGTGTCCTTTAATTGTGAAAATCAAATATGTGGTATGTTATGACTCCTCAGTAAAGAGGAAGGAAACGATTGGAGGGAAGATAATTTAAAATTTGGGTAGGAATTTGCTAATTAGAAATTAAATCTTCCAATATTCTACAATTATTTTGAATTACTAAATTATCACAATTTCTAAATAATATTTAATGAACAATTAATTTTGGCTAAGGCCATGGATGGTTTTTTAAGAATAAACAAAAATGAATATAAAATATGGTAAAAAATCTATTCTAACATTTTGCAAACATGACACATCTGCAACAACTACATGTACTAGGGCAACAGCCCAACTCATATGTGGGTGTTTTCCATATACAGAACAAGTGAAACAATTGATAAAATACACCCAGAAAGTGCTTATTTTGCTAAAAAAGAAAGACCAATTGAGAGAATTCCACCTACTCACATGCCTTGGAATAGCACATTAAAGGAACAGCTTACCAGGCTGGTGTAGTTTGGGGACAAATGCTAAATGCTTCACCACCTGGCCTTTATGACTACATCAACTGGGGATGGGACAATAATGAAACTGTTACCCCACTGTGGACAACCCAGACACAGTCCTCCAAAGCCTGCCAAGCTCTTGTACAATGTTCATATAAAAAGCTATGTTCTGTATGCACTTGTAAAAAGCCAGGACTTATATTTTGTGACAGTATTTATGAGATTGAAATTATAACAGAGTAAAAAAGATCCATGTGGAACTCCTTCAAAGG